CGTCCAGGGTAGTACCACCTTACCTATTTCTGTTATCTTACCTATATATTAAGGCATACAACTTATTCGTCCCATCACTTGATGTAATAAAAAACCCTGGATGTCCGATGGTAAAAGGAGGCGGGCGGAATGAGCTGATGAAACTCATGGGCACACTCACTGTAGTGTATTCTATAGAAAACCGACATTTCTCGTTTGAGAAACAATCGTTCGTAACGCTAACAATGATTGAGTAAAAACTCAGATGAAATAGGCAGATGACTCAACTTCACTGACGATTTGATGTTCAATGGAAAGTGGAATACGTGGAAAATCGTAATGCAGCGTTCATATGCAATCACCGCCCTAGCCACATCCAAGATCAAAGATCTGTAATAAACGCAAAGAGAAATTCGTGAAGTCTGCTGACTCGATCTGTAGCTCAGTTGGTCAAGCGGTTGCCCTAGATTGGCAAAACAGACACATGTTCGAGTCTTGTCAGATCGAAGAAATTTTTGTGTGTTCGATTTTTGCCTTTAATAATCATGATATAAAGTAATATTCCATAATAATAATATGCCAGTTTACCACATACTGATTTTCTGGTGGTAATTAGAAAATTCCCTATGAGTACCAGAGCGAAGGAATTCACTTTGGGACAATACTCTGAAAAAATTAGAAAAGTTAATTCCCCAAAGTGGTCCTATCTTGGAATTGGGAGAATAAGACTTATGATCACAGGCTTGCTCGAAGTTATCATATAATTATATTATAGTAATTAATTAATTGTTTGTTCTTAATTAAATATAGCTAAGCAATAATATAAGGGAAGTATTCATAAACAACATGCCTAAAATACATAGAAATAAAAAAGTCGGACCACTTCGGATGTCGCTTGTGCACTAAGTCCGATTCAAATCCGAGGAAATACGAATATCACTTGTACTTAGGGATAAAATGATCCCTGTGACATTTCGGACCGTTATTTCTCGGATTCCGAACTGGGTGTCTAGTCTCGATCTCCGTCCGACATCCGTCCGAAACAATTACTGCCAAATAAGCAGTACTTGACCAAATGAAAAGACGCGTGACGCGAATGAAGCTTCATACTGGATACTTGTCTTTTAATTTTGTCGAATATTACTTATTTGACAGTAATTGTTTCGGACGGATGTCGGACGGAGATCGAAAGTAATACGAGTCGGACGTAGTACGCAAACGCTCGAGTTTTAAGATTAAATTTTGTAACTCTATTATGTTTGTATAGTAATTAAGATTTCTTTTTTATTACTTATTAATATTACCATAGCTTCATTTACGTTTCTTTTACTTGTATTAGATGAGGTTACACGGATTTAATGTTTCACGATTTTCATATAATATTTAATATGATAAATTCGAGATTTAATCGGTTATAAACATATTTTATTTATCTCGGTGTTTTAAAGGTCTTGTAACGTCCGTGATCTCGAAAAGATTCATAGAAGGGACTAAGTCCCTTCGAGACCACAGACGTGACGTTGCCACACGTCCGAAACGTCTAAAATAGCTACTAAAATAGTAGCAGTAGAGCTTCTTGTGAAAGAGTTCGTCCAGGGAAGTACTGCCACCTTACCTATTTCTGCCACCAAGCGGTAATGTGAGCATTTCTGCGTTCCGATTTTGAAGGGTAGGTGCTGATAAAATTACAGGCACATGCGACTTGTCAACCATGTCTCAGGGTGACGGGTGCAGTGGCAGTGCCCCTCAGGTCTTTACGGCTTATAGCTTTGAGTGGCACTACAACTGTTATGAACAGGCGTGTCGCTTACCACCAGGCCTACGACTTGTTCGTCCCGTCACATGGTGTTATAAAAAAAACACGTCTAAGTCCCGATTTTTTAAAATCATACAATTAGATTAAGTATTATTAAATAAATATATGTTTAGCGGGAATCGAAACCGCAATCTCTTCATCCAGCGTCCACAGATCAAATCGTTGGATCACTGAAATCGTCGAAATATTATTTTCTGAACCAGTACAGTGTCAAATTTTCGTTGCATCTTGTATAACCAATTCTTACTATATCAAGTTAAATTATGCTCAGTGACTCGTATATTTTTGTACCGCTTTCAATGGCCTCTTATTCCCAAAAAAAAATTACACCCTCCAGCCGATGCGATTTCTCGGAATAATCACCCAAACTGAACATGTAGTCAGCTGTCCAATTACCCCCGCCGACAGTGTTACTGGAACAGTGACTCGTAACACGCTTTCATTGCTGTGAAATATCAAAAACAAACTGTTTCTAACTTTTGTACTGTAGAACTGTCTACAGTACAAAAGTTAGAAACAGAAAATTTGGGCTTATTTCCGTTATTAATGTTCTTGGTAAACTGAAATGTGATTGCTGATCTCAATTTTCTTTGAACTTAATAAAACTTAAATTGCTAAATTTTGACAGCATTGTCTGTGCTCATTAACACGTTCCAATTTTGCTGTACAAACAATTTTGTTTTCAACTTTCCAAGAATTTAATAACTTATTTCTGTACCTAGTCAAAAGAAGCAACAACACAGCTTGCATCCTTAACGTGGTGAGGTTAAAAACTATTTTGTACTGTATAAAGTAATCCTCTCTATTGTGAAGAGAAAAACCTAGTCCACTAAGTAGTTTAGCGGAGAACTTTCACGTTAAAATATAATTTTAAGCCAGGGTTTTAATTCAATTTTTAAATCGGCATTGCCGCCACATTCTTTCATTTACTAACAGGGTTTATTTCATAATGCATAAAGTTCCAAATGTTATTATTTTCCGCTCTGTATACTCGATGACATATTTCGAGAAACGCTGAAATGAAGGTTGAATATATAACAACAACATTCGTATGAACCACTGACCATATAACAGAAAGTTTAATCAAAAAATGTTTTGAAGTCTTTTTTTTTATGCAACACGCTTATCCATAGCTGTTGCAGTGCTACTCAGAGCTTTAAATCACAAAGGTCTGAGAGGCACACCGCCCGTCACCCTCACACATACGTTGAAAAGTCCCATGTGCCATTTCACTAGCACCCTTATCTTTCACCGCCTCTACGCAGCAATGATTACATTGCATTGGCAGTACTTCCCTGAACGAACCCATTCACAATGAGCTCCACTGCTACTAAAATTACATTGCCATAATATAAATTTTAATTCATTTGTGGTGCGAGTACCAACTCAAAATCTCGACCTTCATGGCGGTGGAGTTTTGGCCGAAGGTGTCATGTACCGACGTTTTCGAGGCCGGCTACCGAACACCCACTTGGGTTTTACATCGCAGACAATACGTGTAAATATATTAGTAATTAGTGTTTGTTGTATTGTTATGTGTGTTAGTTCACAAGGTATACAGGGTGGAAATTTGTAATGCCACTCCTCACTCAATTTGTAAACCACAAAGTACTCTAAATACTGGAGATAGAAATTTTTACTTAAAGGAAACATTCCTTTATATTTTAAAAGAAATAAAACTGCATTCTTAGATTTTCGAAAATTTCTAGCAATACGCGGGAATCGAACCGCTTTAATCTGAAAAAAATGCACCCTGCACTTTTATTGCATCGATCGATAGGGTTAATTATAAGAATAATAAAATATAAATAATCTCTCTCACAAAATTGGTTAATTAAATGAAAAAAAAAACATGAAATATTAACGTATTTTAATAAAACGAAAAAAATGGTAATCTAACTAATTAGTTACTCGAAATGAGCTCCATTTTCTTGGATACACAAATTTAATCTTTTAACGAATTCATTTTGAAGGCTGAGGTTCAGAATACGATTTGTAATACAATTCATCACAACACGTTATTAAAAGTTACTCAACCTAACCTGAATATAAATAAATAAAATTACATGCTGTTATATGTGGCCAGTGGCTCATTTGAATATTGTTGGCATAATTCAATCTTTCATTAAGCGTTTCTCTAAATATGTCCACATGTGTACGCTCGAGAATGATTATAAAAGTAAGAAGAAAACATTTTTTTTATGTTTGTTAGATTTTCAGACAGACTTCTTGATGGAAAGAGGTAACTATCGCCTCTAGACTTTTTTGATGACAATTGAACGCATGTCACACTTGGCCTACGTTAACCGACATTACGACCGACGATGATAAATGCCTCGGCTGCCCCATAAGAAAACCTAGTAAGTGTTTTAGACAATAAGAGCCCAAAAAACTGAAATCAGGGTTGCCCTTAAACCAATTTCCTGTTAATGTAAAAAGCAATAGTATGAGGTAGTGTTCCTACCAATCAATGAAATTATTAATACAATTTGATTTTGTTTGACAAATTAAATTAATAAATCGACTAAGACTTTGAGTATCAGTAGAGTTTATTACCATTAATTGCCAATTTAAATACTTAGTAAGACGCTTTACCTTTACCTTTATGTTAAAACGTAGCAAGTCTTAAAATTTGATATATATGTTTTGAATTGTTTAAAGTAACTAACAAGATTTTACACAAGAGCAGGAACCCGTCTAGGTGTGCCTTATTAAGTATTAATGTCTCAAAATCTCTGATAAGTTGTAGAATTTTGAAGCGACTGTTACCGCAATTGGGTAAGTACTTATTATGGGAGTAGTATTCCGTTAAAAAAAATATTTATTAAAAATTTGTCGCTTACTAAATTTTGCTCTGGAGCAGCCGGCCTATTCACTTCAGAGTGATGAGTGAGCTTTTGTGAGATGATTGTTTTCTGGAAACATAATAAATAATAATACTTACCACAATTATACGTTGCCGACTAAGATACACCTAAGTTGTGTGGGGAATGCGCTGGTACTTCCTATTGTTAAATACGGAAAACGGAGTTGCCTTGTGGCAAAAATAGATAAGACAGTAGATCATCCCTACCAGAAAGAACAAGTTGTCATCATTAGGACATTATACGATCATTAACACCAGTATAACCGGTTAAGCATTAAAGTACAAAATGCCGCAAAAGAAATATCATTCCCTTTAAAGTAGCCGACGACTTGCACCAACCATTTCCTTTGTCATCAAGATGCTATAAATCTTTTGACGTCACCAGAGACGTCACAATTCCTTTCACATTGTTTCCGGGTGAATAGGGCCGTCATATAAACGATTGCCTTCCAGATGTTTCGACGATTGTGAACGGTTTTGTTACCTGAAACAGAAGGAATATTTGTTATGATTAGACAGGCTTTGTTTGATATACAAGACATGGATAATATTATATAGCGACATACAACAATAAGTTTAAAATTAGTTCTAATCCTAAATAAATGACCTTGTTATAATTTTAATATTAATTATCAGAGCAAGAGAACAAATCATTCAACTACAATATTCAAGAACAAAATGTTATTAGGCGACTAATGATGGCAGGTGTAAAGAACATTTTTTGTCAATGCTCATTACTTAAATTTATTCTGTCCACGGCCGTAATTGGAATTTAAATAGGTAAGCAGATAAATGGTTTATGTCGGAATAACTACTTATTTGGCCAATTATTACAAAGTTTACAAAGCACCTAACGCTACGTATGATTTATGATTAAAAACTGAAGTATCGAGTTTTCGCGATTGATGCACATAGAAAATTAAATTATTTTTTCAGATCTATATCGCGTGTATTTTTCTTTTTCAAATAAACCAACGTTTCCGGCCTTTACAGGGGGCCTACCATAACCATTACAAAAATTATGATGTTAGTCATATTCGTACCATGACAAACCTGTCAACCAAGTAATGTATTATTGCTAAAGTGATTGAAAGAACGATTGATTTCCCAATATTGTCTATTCCTTACTAAAAATAGGGAAGAAATAACGCTGTATGAAATATATAATGCCATCTCTTTCTTTTTTGATGTTCCGAATCACCTTATCGTAGTGTAATGTTTAAGTACTAAATGGTATAGAAAATGAAACTGTTTTTCCGGATTTAAATCGCGGATGTAAACCGACGTTTCGGGCCCTTTACAGGTCCCATGGTCACGATTGACTGAGGTGGTACAGTCTTCAACCAGTTATGTCTAATATTGAATTAATACTTAGTGGTATTTACATTTAGAAAATTATAACCGTTAAGAGAGAAAAGTATGTAATAATAAAATCTATTAAAATTACGTTGTTTTCAACAATTTTTCCGCATGTTCATAAAGAAAAATAAATAAAACAAGCTGAGTCTTGATAGTCCCGTCGTGAAATCGGAATTATAGTCTAGTGTCAACTGTTAGCGTCGCCAAGGAGCATATAGATGTCGCTGTCATAATTTTACGAAATAAACATCGAGTATTTTTATTTAACGATAAATGATTTCCTATGTACTATTAAATAAAAAAATAAACAAAATACTGAAGAGATTTATATAACTAAATAAGTTCAACTTAACTTTTAGGTATTACAAATCAATATTTGGACAATAAATTCGAAAATAATATTGTTTCCATCGCTTCTGAGTAACTATTTTTTTATTAACTATATATTTATTTTCCGAAATTCAGCTGTTAAATGGCCAGCCAGATCGTGTGATTTAACACCACTGGATTATTTTTTGTGGGGCTATCTTAAGGACAGAGTCTATACGGAGCCAATCGAATCGACTACAGCCTTAAAACTCAAAATCCGTGATGTGATAGCCGAAATAGACCCGACATTTTGCCAAAAAGTGATTAAAAATTTTGATGAAAGAATCGACTTCTGTCAGCGTGGTCGTGGTGGACATTTGCCAGATATCATTTTTCATTCATAATTGCCGAACTTTTCTCTTTGTAATACAATAAAAATTTGAATCATCTTCATCTAAATTTTTTGTTTTATTTTGTTTTAGAAAACAAAGTTCTTGTTGAAAGACCCTTTATTTCAAGATTGTTAAATTTGACATACACAATATTACTATAATATTAAGGTCGCGTCATAGTACGAACTGAGTGAATGAATAGTTACAAAGCTGCCAATAAAACATCTTACTTTTAACATTATAATAAGCTTACTTTAAGCGCGTCATGGTACGAAAATTAAATTAAAAGTTAAGGTAATATTTTTTTAAGAGGTTGTGGTAGGCTCCCAGGTCCCATGGCCGACTCAGCCGTGAAGCCGTGAATTAGACTTACTACGCGAATGCGAATGTTTGCAATCTCTCTCTTCAAATAAAAAATCATTAGGGATGGCACAGTTGTATAAATAATTAAATAATGGTAATTGAACAAAATTCAGACATGACATTAAGATTAGTATTATCAATAACTTAATAGAATTTCGGGGGCAAATATTAATTAATTATGGTAACAGTAAAATAATTTGCGGTGAAAATCTTAAAAACCATAAAACATGTCTTTGTTTGTTAACATTATTTATTTTATAATGAATTTGATTTTCTTAACGCTCATAGCCTCGTGCTAGGAAAACCCTGTATCACGGGTGCCATTAACACACACAATACAACCACAAATCACACCCAAACTCACGAGATAATTATAAATGCAGGCCATGCAAATATTTATCTCTGCCCGGGAATCAAATCCGGGACAAACCAGCATGGTAACTGTTCGGCAACGGGGGCAGTTTAGTTATACTTTGGAAAACTGAGCAATATGCGTTAATAACGTATAGTATTATCAGAGGCTTACTATTATCCAATAAATCGAAAATCCTTAAGAACACTCCGAAGAAGAAAAGAAACTAAAGCAGGAACCCGGTCGTCAATCATAATACATCGTACTTAACCCCCCCATCATCCCAACAAAGGGATAATGTTATCCCTTACTCCACAGGTGTATAATAGTACAGTTAAGAATATAGGTATTACATCTTTTGTTCAAAGTATTATGTTGCGAACATTACAGAGACATTGTTTTAATATAACATGTCAATCATCATTGTTACGCGGTACAGTGTATCCTGAGGGAGAAAGCCGAACGCCAGCGTTACTATTTATGAGTGATTTATGAAATACTTATTAAAAGGCGTATTTTATATGTCATATTTAAATCATACTGTATAACAATTAAATGATATTACGACTTTTACGTAAATTATCACTTATACACATACACGTGACTAGTCTTTCTTTTTGAGATTCTAATTTGTAATAATAATAATAGCGCCCACACTCAAAATAGCCTCGCACTACTTATAAAAAATACCCATTGCACTAACTGAATACGTTTTTTTATGATACGAAGTGACGAAATGAACAAGTCATGCGCCTGGTGGTAAGCGACACGCCTGTCCATAGCAGTTGCAGTGCCCACTCAGAGCTTTAAATGTCCAAGATCACCTTCAGACATAACTTGACAAGTCAAAAAGTTCAACAAGTTCAAGTTCAACACCTTAACGTAGTAATGAAACTATTTTTCCGGATTTAAATCGCGTATATTTGTTTTTTCAAACAAACCGACGTTTCGGGCCCTTTACAGGTCCCATGGTCACGGTTGACT